TAGAAAAATAGGAAACCATGCAAAGCAATCGATATATATATATATATATATATATATATATATATATATATATATATATATATATATATTAGTGTAGAGCCATGATGAAAAACTAATTGAAAAGAAATTTCTTCGCTCAATTCGTTCCTTCTTTATTTATCAAGTGTATTTGTTGTTAATTGAATGAATCTCAGAGAGCAATAGTTCTGTATGCTTATTTATCAAATAAAACACAACACAATTAAAAAGGTATAATGATGAATAGCCAGACCAAAACATGGCACAAATCCATGAAGTCACTGACAAGTGAACTAAGCCATGTTGTTAGGCGTAGACTACCCGATTGGGGACCACTAAATGATAGCAACCAGTGGTTAGAGACCCTGAATAACATGGCTTAAAATCGTTAGCAATGGCGCAAGTTCACCCAGTTTTTGTGTTCTCCCAAATTCCAATCTTCTGAATTCTTCATGTCCCTTTTTTCCTCTTTCCAGATTTATTTCACTGGAATATACTCCTTGAATAACATCTTCAAACCCTAATATTTCGGATTACTGCTTATACTCTTACTACCTCTACCATTACGGGATTAGAATCAACAACTACATCTCTGTACTAATGTGGTATGGCAACTCGAACTGATGTACGGATGTATGAAGTTCTACGTTGTTACTGACTAACTGACACAGGCTTACTTTTCCCATTTAACTGTAATGCTACAACTATTGTGCAAAAACAATTAATACTAGGAAGTTCAGATATTTGTAAATTGCTGAGTATAGTTTAATTGTTAATTCAGTGGTTGATAGTTAAATATAACTGATTCATTAAATGTGTGCTCCTATTCCATCCGATTTTATGATAGTAACCTAATGGTAAATAGATAGTCACATCTCATAATTGTTGGTCCTTTTTGGTCTAAAATTATATACCCTTGACTTTTTTATATGTAAAGTATAAATTAATAGTTATATTCACATATGTCAGCTTCCTATATATGATAATTGTGACTAAATATCTGTCAAACCGAAGTAAACGAGCTTTCTGTAAGTAGTAAATTTGGTAGTAGTACAACGTTGACAGTTTAAAGAATTATTATAGTCTGTCACTGTTTAGTGTATGAGAGAGCATTCCGCAATCTGATATACTTTGGTACTTGGGATATAGTGTGTACTGGTATTACGTTTTACGACAAATTATTAGATCCTTGTTGGTGTAATATACATATTCTTTGGCACTTCTAGGTAATCATAGTAGCCTATTGTTTTTTGGGTTGATTATCACAACTTAAGGAAAAGTGCAAATCATTTGGGAAATCCATTATGTTCTGATTGGATATTTCTCAACAAATTTGATTTCTTGGATTTACTGTGTCTTACATCCTTTCTATGTAGTTCCATATGAATTTGCGAACATTTTTTAAGACGAAACAGAAACACCTTTTATTGTTTATGCGGTTAAAAGACATTAATGTGAACCCGACTTGTCAAAATAATTTGTCTTTCAGTAAGTTATGTTTCGATATGAATAAATAGTCCTATCGCATTTTACTCCCAAAAATATTTGTCTAACTACGGCTCTGTGGTGTGCACCTCTTATGTGGAGAGATAAGTATTATGTAACGGCAGTGACAAGTGGAATGCTTACCAGCAAAAGATTAAAATAAAGAGAACAGGAAGGAAAACGGAGAGCAATCAACATAACAGGATTAAAAGAATGATGAACTATGTAAAGGATAACTGAAGAAAGATGTACTAAGGATGTATTTATTGTATGATTTTCACATTTTAAAAAGGCAATGTATAGTTTTGCATAAAATAAATTGGTTTGCCGTACCTGAATCTTCGTTCAATACAGCTCCAATAGATCAATGAATGATCTTTTTAACATCTATGGAATACGGTATATAAAGAAGCATTTCTATGGAACTTCATTTCCAGTGGTTTTCCAATTCATGCTTTCAGCCTGTAGTTGTCTAAAACATTTCCTTGGCTTGTCCTAGTTTCGTCAACATCCTTGGTGTTACGAAAAGTCTATCATCATGAAATAGGCAAACGTGCTGATACATTTCTTTCTGTTCTTATTGTCTAATCCCTACGAAATAGATTTTTTATGGTAAAATATATCGTATGGTTAGATCACTATCAATTGTTTTTTTCTTGCGGAATAAATACCTACCAACATTAATGGATCAAAACAATTCTGACTGTAATTTGTCTAATCGAACCCGACTGATATTATTTTGTGCAAATCGATATTGACAACACGATCTGACATAATTCCTTAATTTTAAAAGAACTAAATTCCTGATCTACTTAACCATTGATGTTGATTCATGTTACTTATTGTGGCTAAAAATATCAGGAACCAACATTTATTTCAAGAATGAAGATAGATGCCTGTGGGATATTTATAAGTGCTTCAGTGTATCACACACTTGTTATAAATAGATGATCCGCATGAATAACACTCATGTAATGTACAGTCCTTATGGTTCGTAAACATTAGTCATATAAGTAAGTTTTATTTTGAGATGATTAGTGTTAGGACATGGAAATTCTGTTAATAAGAGTATTACTGGTGAGTGCTGGTATTGTGAATCTCTTAATCTTAGTACATTTTTAATTGGTTCATGTGAGTTAATACTGTATGACTGTTGATTCCGCTACAAATTGAAATGTCGACTATAAAAAACTGCATCGTAAATGAAATTAAAACAGATTGGTAAATGACCTTCTACTCTTTGCGCAGTTTATGTTTAAGTCGTTGAGAAACTGGCGGCCGGTTATCTTCAGTATTGCGATCAGTATGGAATGGTTAAAAAATGCAGTTTGAATCGAAAGATGTTAATGAGCAGTTTTCTTAAAATTTAAGGTTTATTTGTTCTTTCGAGATGAATGTTCACTTGATATTTGCTTCTTTGATAATAAATACCATCTTTAATACATATCACGCCAATGACTCATTTCAACAACTAATTAACGAGAATAAATAAGTATTCCCAGCTTTGATCAGTCATATAGGTAGGTGTATCTCTTAATAATCATTCATTCTGATTGCAACAAGAAATAATTAGTTTACGTACTGTCGACGCGATGAATTTGTTCAACTGTGGTTGTTAATAACTTCAATAAATGATGGGTACTGTCATTGTTGATTGTTTTGTAAGACGCCAATAGCTTCTTTGAGTACCTTTGAAAGCTGGCTGCTTTACTTCATTCATATGTGGGGAGGGGCTGGTTTTGTTCTAAATTCTATTTTATTCTCCCTTTTCTCCACTAACAGGGTGATGTCTTCTGAAGATGATGGTAGTTACAAGACTTTAGGATTACCTACTCAACCATACTGTCGTATTCATTGTCATCAGTCAGCTGTACGTGCAGCACGTTTTAATGCAGATGGGAATTATTGTATGACAGCTGGTGGCGACAAAACGATAAAACTATGGAATCCTTATAATTTCCGTTTATTAAAGACTTATGCAGGGCATGGAGGGGAAGTTTCGGATGTACAGGTGAGCTCTTACTACATAGACTTACTCCTTTTTTGTACACACACAAATAAGGGTACTCTGGTAACTCAATAACCATGCATAGGTTTTTATACCGTATTTTGGGTCGCACCTACTGTAATTTCTGAATTCTAACAACTGAAACGTTAAACGAGCAATTTGTGTATCATCCTGTTTAAAAGACCGGTTATGCAAGTATGAATAGCCACCAAAGCACTGATTTCTCAACTGGCACCAGTATGGGACAAAATCCCGAATATTGTTTACTTTGGTCTGATCCAGATCGGAATATATTAATTAATCCATTTTCAGTCAATCAGCGCTGGGAGACGAATCGACCAAGCACTACGAGCTTTGTATGTAAATTCTATATAAACTGGTGTTTTCCCTACTAGATTTTGCTGTTTGGTTTATCGTGATCTAAATCGCTCATTTTTAATTCTTGTTATGATGTAGTAAAATTCGATTGGATTCTTTAGCTTAGAAGGTGTTTGACAGTAGAACGCAACGGTCGTTAACCAAAATATTTTTGAATCCAATCGGTCTCCACAAGCAAATTATTAAACTTTCTCCAAAATGACTTCAATTATATTAACAGATAAATTGCTGGATAGTAAATGAAACATTATACTTTTGATCTGTAGTTTGTGACTACAGTCTATGGACTATCTCGTGTAGTATGTGTCCACCAAGCTGAATAAGTTTTTATACTGGGTAAAAAATTTCGCATTGGGTACCTTGTAAGCATATGCATGAAACGATTGTGTATTAGTGTCTTGACGTTTAGTCAAAAGAAACTAGATCACACAACACCCTAGTGATTTGTAAATAATATCTATCATTGTCATTCCTTAAGGTATTCCGAAACTTCTCTCTGTAAGACCAATTTTATCACCGTATCATTTAATGAATCACTATCCTAATAGATCCTCACCAACAGGTCAGTGGTTTACTGATCTGGACTTGTTATGGAATAAAATTTGATGAATGAGTTTCCGACTTTTAAGATAAAAGGATGCTAATCGATCGATAAAATGAGATGATACGGGGTTACCGAGGTATAAATGGTCGTGGGAACGAATTATTGATGTTAGCTCCTGGTCAAACTAATGCTAGAAGGTAAGACCACCAAACAAGATGATGTTTTTTTCTGTTAAAATAATGCCTTTATATGTGGGGTAAACATGATAAAATAATATGAGCGATTGGGGAAAATCAATTTTGTGGATCACTTTCACTGAAGTCCACCACCTGTCATATCAGCTTGTAGAGGCTGGCACTATGTCAAGCCCTCATAGGCTATTCCAGATTCTGGACAGACTCATCTTTTCATTCTTGTCAAGCCACATTTTGACCTTGTCAATCGTTCTCCTATTGACCTTGACTGATTTTATATGATCTTATGTGTTAATTATTTAGCTTTGACATTGTATGTCTGCAACTTATCTTAGTCTGAATATAAATATTGAGTCACGCTTAATCAAAACCACTTGGCTCACTCGCCTTCTCCAATCCGTTTTTCTTCGTTGCGATTCTCTGATTGTGTGTCCGAGTCAATGAGTGCGAAATACACGTATTCAAAATCCACTCTAGTGTTTGGCTTATTTTGTTCCATTAGTCTCTAACGTGAGTTAAGTCGATAATTGTATATGAAGGTTGGTGGCATGTATGTTTCGACAATAATCAGCATACGATATAACTGGAGTCAGATATCACATACTTAGACCTCACCACTTCATGTAATTTGGTTTGGATAGTCAGATTTTTCATCTAGCCTCCATACTAAACGTCTGGACTCACGACCAGGGATAGGAATCTGTACTTCAATAATGATTAGAAGCGTAAGTGCATTCTATGGATGATCACATTTATTTCCCCTTTGGATATTAACTTAACTCATTTCTCATCAATACTTTGCTTTTTAACATGTAGGCAGGGAAAGATAATAGTCAACTTGGTTCAGGTGGAGCAGACTGTTTAGTTATATTATGGGATGTTTCTACAGGACAATCTGTTCGTCGATGGCGTCGTCATGCTGGTCGTGTGAATTCTGTTTTATTCATTGCACCGTTCCATAATTCCGATTCATTAGACCCTAGTCCAATTTTATTGTCTACTGGTGTAGATGGGATGGTCCTAGTTTGGGATGCCAGAGCACGTACTCCTTATCCAGTTCAGGTAGGTGTTCTTGATTAAAACGATTATAATTTAAAATAATGGATACAACGGAAGCCAAACACACAACAAACACTCTACCAGTAGGATCAAATCAAGATAAAAGATATCTGTTGGATTTTTTAGCCTGATCAAGAGGCCATTATCTCAGTATAGTGATTTAAACTTTACTATTATCAAATTGTTTTTCTCAAAGTCCACTACATATGACGAAAAGGGTTTTGATTTAAACTAGTGTATCTACATAAATTATTTGCTATGTCTTTACGGATGCGATTCAATTTCTTTGTATTCAACTTTCGCTTACATATACCGATACGTACACTCTATCATCCTAACATTATCTGATCTACCTAACCGCTTATAGTTTTCTGATATATGGCATCAACTTAGACTTGGTGTCATGTTGAGACCTGGTTCCAGTGATTTGTTTAACACGAACGTCTAGATAGACATAATATATTGATTATTCTTTAACAATCAAATGGAGTATTATCGTGTTTACTTTCCGCTATTTTATTGAGTTAATCCAAAGTGTGGGCTCATTAAGTACCGTTTACCAATACAATATAACTAAATTGTTTCAAACAATTACTGTTCATCATTTTGCATTGGTCTTCTGTTCGTTATTGTTGCCTGTGATAAAGCACAGTAAGTTTCATTTCTAATAACTTGTCTCAAAACTCCATTGCCTTAAAATCTCGGTTCCCTAATTGATGTACTTCTATATATGTTTATTACTACTTACTTTCGCCTGTTACTCCCAATGGAGCATAGGCCGCCGACCAGCATTCTCCAACCCACTCTGTTCTGGGCCTTCCTTTCTAGTTCTATTCAATTGTTGTTCGTTCTTCTCATATCTGTCTCTTTCTCTGCGTAATGTGTACTTTAGTCTTCCTCTTTTCCTTTGGCCTTGAGGATCCCATGTGAGGGCTTGCCTTGTGATGCAGTTGGGTGCTTTCCTCAGTGTTTGTCTTATCCACTTCCAGCGCTTCTTCCTGATTTATTCCTCCGATGGGATCTGGTTTGATCTCTCCTACAGTAGGTTGTTGCTAATAGTGTCTGGCCAACGGATCCGAAGTAAACACTTGTATGTTCTGGATGATGGTTTTTGTAGTTCTCCAAGTTTTCGCCCCATACAGTAGAACTATCTTGAAATTTGAATTGAAAATTCTGACTTTGGTGTTGGTTGATAGACAGTTGTTTTGAGTTCCAGACGTTTTTAAATTGAAGATATTCTGCTCTCGCTTTGCCGATCCGCACCTTCACATAAGCATCAGATCTACCGTATTTTAATCGTTGATTTTATTTGAAAGTAGGATATTTCATTTAAATATGAATTGGAGTGGCTCAATAGTTTAGCATTCCGCTTCCAACCATTAAGTCTCATTTATTCCAATAATGGAATATCAGTCTTTGAAATGAATCAATGATATCCAAACATGTAATAAGTTGTTGAATGAAATTAAGAGAAAATGCAATGTCTTCTCAACTATATTTCTTCAGTGAAAATTACGTCATTCTATGTGTGTTTATCCTATTCTCCTTTTCTAGCAGTGCTTCTAGGTTTTCAATGGTGGGTTCATGATCTCAATCAATAAATTAATGATTTATCCAATCAGATTAACATGTGATTATCACGATTGTAGATAGACATATTGAACTATAATAATTTCAAGAGGTTATCTCATGTTCATTCCATTTTTGAATTTACAAACTTCCTCCACCCTCCACTGTATGTATGTCAATCAATTAATGTGTGTAATCTTATCTAGTTATTCATCAAGTGGCCGGATTATCGATCGATTGTGTAGCACATGTTCTATCTAGTGCTAGCAACTTGAACTACTCAATTAGTTTTTCATTATTATTACTATCCTTACTTTTGACTGATTTATGTATTTTTCATTTCTCATTGATGACCGTACTGTTTTGTCATTTTTTTCTTCTTTTGTAGACTATCCATGAGGCACGTGATAGTGTCACATGTTGTGCATTTCGTCGACATCAAATTGTTACTGGTTCTGTTGATCGATGTGTTCGGATTTATGATATTCGACGAGGTTAGTGAAAATCTATTTTTTTTAAAAAAAAGTTATCATCGTGGTAAACTTCTTTATATGCGGTACATTTGTTTTCTTCTTGAAGGAACATTATTTTGTATTATTTATAAAATTAACTAAATGAAGATTATGAAATCCATTCTCAACCGATTGAACATAACTTTTCACACCGACAGTAAACTGATAACTTTATGATCATAGGTTTCTCAAGTGTGAATAAAATTTTACTAGTAACCGATGAGACTGCAGTTTATGGACGACCTTTGATCAGCTCTAAAATGACCTTAGAATATCCACCTACTTACTAGAGTTAAATGAGGATTTCATATTAGTGTGAGGAATTAGGATTATGATTTACAGTTGGTGGTTAGGGTTAGAAATTAGATTCGGCGTTTTCATCACGAACTGACATCAGTTATAATGCTAAAACGCTATTTAGCCAAATGGATGAATGATTTTCCCGCCAAGTGTAAGAAACTGCATTCTGAACCAATAATCACTTAGTGTTACTCTCGGGCCAATTTCGGTAATTTTGTACTAAATAGACAATCCGGATGAACTAATCTTACTCGGACTAGACTAATACAATTGCTCTCCTGTTTTACGATCCGATCTCACGATCCCTTAATTAACAAGCAAAAAGTGTTTATTTTTCACTAACACATCACAGATAGTTGTTCGAGACGGAATTGAAAGTTGTAATAAGAGGAATAGGATCCAAAGTATCTGATTAACCTTAGTTAAGATCGTTTCAAATTAAAATGTTGATAGAATAGTAATACATAATGAAGGTGACGTTATTATTTATCCATAATCAAATTTTAAAAGTTTAAATAATCGCAGGGTAAATACTAAGTTATGACAGGATTACTCAACATGATCAGTATGAAACTCAAATTTATGTAATGACATTAATAAGATAATGTGATATAAATTATATGATTACAATTACCGTGTCAATTAAAGGACTAATGCGTTTTCCCTACGTACACATGGGTCATGTCGGAAATATTTAGTAAACTACATTTTCGAAATTGCGTATAATGTAAATTCATAAATGCGACTGCATGTTGTTATGTCTTGAGACCGCATACATACATGCCAAGTCATTATTCAGAATCCTAATTTTAATTTGCTCTATTTCAAATCTTTTTCAAGTTTCCTCGACAGCTATGTTCACATTTTCCTGTTGTTCGCAAACTCCTCTCTATCCCTTGCCTTGAGTAGCAATTAACCTCTACGGCTATACCGAATCTCATCAAACTATAGAATGAAATACAACAATTATATATGAACGGACCAAAAGTGGCTGTGAGTAATTGACTGGCAACAAATTAGGAATAGTAAATAGTCTAACCGCAGTTGATGAGCTTGCTTAAATTTATCAAATGGTCATGTTGTATCAATTCATGAATAATTCTTCACGATATAAATGATATTTTCCTATTTATGCTTAATATCCTTTATTTCTGTTGACTGGGCGATATAAAATACTGTAGGTGAAATGACTGAAGACTATGTTGGATACCCAGTTACATCAGTTTCAATTACCATAGATTGTCAATGCTTTTTAGTTGGTACACAAGATTCAACTTTACGTTTATTCGACGCGTTAACCGGTGAACTTCTTAACAGATACACAGGACATACTAATCAAACATACAAGTAAGATCATTCTTTCCAGAAAAGTTGCCTGTTTATTGTTTGTATATTTATTTGCGAAACAGTTCAAGACTCATCATAATATTCACTAATAAAATCTTTAATAATGTTTTTAAACCTACATCTCAATATTGTCTGGCTATGCTATGAAACTTAGTAATAAAACCATATTAAAATTATAAATCTGATTGAGGCTAAGTAATGTGTTTTTTTAATAATATTAAGTTTCGTCAAGTGACATTAACCAAACCAAAAATCATAGTGTTTGCTAAACCATCAGTTTCCTTAAGCAGCCCTTAAGAAATTCCAAGACTTATCTGTTTGCGTTATCCTAACATCCATTCTTGCCAAATTAACGGGACTATAGTTAACATTACTCAGTTTCATGATCTAAGGTTTGTTATGCTATTCTCCCAGTTTCATATAAGTTATAAGTTATAAAACAGTTTATTAACTGTCTACATAAGCTGGCAGTATCCAAAGTTGCATATCACTTGGGTTACATGGATTGTCATGACTGGGATTCTGAAACAGTTATGAAATAACTTATCTTTTAGTAACTGATGAGATCCCGAAGAGTGTATTCTTTAGAAAACGTAGGTCTCAGTTTTAGCAGCTCCTTTGCTAATCACTTCATTAGCAAGTTTTGATAAGCCGTTTATTTCCTGAATTCGGTTGAAGAGAAATTACGTCTTAGGGTATATTGAAAGCTATGTTTATGACTGGCGCTTTAATTGGACAAATTCTCCGTCTTCCAGTATTTGAGTTTGAATTGTTGAAAGATAATATAAATAGGTTTTTATACTGCGCACTACTATTGAACTAGGTGGTATAAAGCTTGCACCTTTGAATAGTTGATTCTCAGGGACTGCGTAAAACAGTGCATAAATACACACACACATTTCTTCATGTACTATCGTCGGTTGAAATGGAGAATATACATTTGGCTGACTCTCGCCTTCTCAATGGTTTAGAGGCTGGGTCAGAAGTTATCGGGAGTATAGTTTAAGTTTAGTTGAAATGTACTATTAAATTAATATTCATTTATTTAGATAAATACAAGTTATGGTTATCGATCTTTATAATTTGTTTCATTTCTTTTTTACAGAATGGATAGTGCTCTGATGAATTTAGATCGTCATATAATCAGTGGTTCAGAAAAAGATGGTCTTGTTTTTGTATGGGATTTCATACGTTCGGATGCACCGATTCATACACTAGATCATCAACCTGGCGGCAATGCATGGGGTGTTTTATCTCCACACAACCCAGAATCAGTTAGTGAATTGATAATTGAAACGGCTAAATCAGTAAATTTTATGATTCATTCAGTGTCACCACATCCTAAACAAAGTAAACTGCTTACAGCAGGTGGTGATTTTGTTTGGTTGTGGGACGCTGAACCTAAAGATATTGAAGAAAGTGAATAAAGATTTCTTGTATATATGATTTGATTTGTACATATATTTTGTTTAAAAAAACTGGTGTAATTATCATTTGTTATGGTTCACTCTGGATACACCTGATAACTGAATTACCTTGGTGGGTTAAAGGTTATAACACAGTGCATATTTTCATCGGATCTGCATTAATATATTATTTCTTAAGGAATAAAACACGTAGTAGACTATAGAGACCTTAACGGTTGACGATAATTGTTCATACAATTTTAACTGACTTCGTGATGTAAACCAAAACATTTTGGTTGTAATGAATGCTATTTAGAAAGGTTTGTCATTTAAAGTTGAACTACCTCAAATCGGTAATACTCATACTGTTACTTTCGATATATCGCTGTATTGCTTGAACGAAGCATCTTCGAAACAACTACCATTTTGGGTTTACAGATTCATTAATGATATAATAGCCCAATCAAATTTCACCAAATGAGAAGGCTGCGCTGTCCCAATCAGAAATATCTTAAGTGCCAAGTGCATCCTATTGGCCAAGAAATGGTTCTATTTTCTCAGTAGATATATATGTATACAAATGAGCGCTTATGCATGTAAATCGGTTTACTCTAATAAACTCCCGTCTTCACTCTTAGCTTTCTCTTTCAGTAGCCGCTCGGGGGCTCGTGTATACGAAGACACCGCACATCATAACACACTGTATATGACTAAAGACACTATAAGTGTTGCCGTAAAATTTTAGTTAAATTAACAAACAACAGATTGAGGAAGTAATAAAGATAACACGAAGGTAGGCGACAGAGACTTAGAATTTTGTGCTGAAATTACTAATGTCAAGATCTCAACTATACCTTGAGAGTGTCTACCTAATAACTAGGAGCGAATGAGGGTTATAAACCAATGTAAGGAATTAGAACTATGATTTACAGTTGGTGATTAAGGTTAGGAATTATATTTTGTTTTCATCACGAACTGACACAAGCTATAACGACAAAACGATTTACCTAGGTGAATTTCGCGCCAAAATTCGAGACCTATTATCTTATACCTGATTGGTTGGTCCATATATTATAGTCTCGCCGATTTCTCTACTGTGCCACCATTTAATGATTTTATCAGTCATATGTCAAATAAAAGTCGAAATGGAGTCCTAAACGGTAGTCTCTATTAACAAATTATGAAATATGTTACTTAATCAGTAACTTATAAAAAATTTGTTGATGAATTCTGACCAAGTAAATTATTCATCTGAATAAAAAGTAACAAACAAAATTTTCAACTACATTACATTTTCAGTATCAGAAGGGGTTTTGTGGATATTATAGTAATTTCAATGGTTAAGATCATGAGTCAATTGAAGCTAGACCACCATGGGTAACCTGGAAGCATTGGACAGCTGTTACGTCCTATTGTGGGACGAAAACAACTCTTCTTAAAATAATCAATATAATTGAGGGGATGTTACTTACATGCATGTTTGTAACATAGAAAAACACTGATAAATAGTTTCAGCAACTGACAAACTCAATGTTTAATAATTAATTAAATAGGTTGATGGTAGAAAGAAAATACAAAGTCAAGGAAAACACAAGTGTCGCAAATATATTTCTTCGAAAATAATATTTTATTTTTTATTATATCTTAAAAGATTAAGCATATACAAATGTTATTGTTATCTCCATTCTATTTTTCTCATTGGTGCCGTATGGTCAATCACTTCGCGTATTACAGGTGTTCTCAACTGATTTTCTTTACAGTGATAACATTTTCCACTACAATATTTATTACTTGTAAATGTTAATTTATTAGTATTCAAAATCTTTTTACATGGTTTAGCATTTGTTCCACGTTCAATAGCTTGATAATTTTGAGACTTAGAATTAAATGTTGGATTCATTGGAATCGAATTATTCAATAAAGTTTTACAAGAGTGTTCCTGAAATATCGTACATAAAAGTCATGTCAATTCTACTGAGGTAAATTACAAGACAATAGAATTACAACTACATTTTAGTGACTACAGGATTTAATATTTAATTGGACAAGGTAGATAACTCATGATTGAGTTACTTTAATAATCATCAATGGAATCCCCTATAGTAAATAACACAACATTCAATGCACAACTATGAATATTACAAATGAAAACAAACAATATATTAGATAGAAATATTCAAAAGATGTGGACAAGTGAAATTTATCTTAAAATTAAAACTCTGCCAGCGATGAGCATTATGAAATTCTACAATCTCTACAGACTGCTTAGACTGATAGCAATCATATGTTAACGAGTAACTAACTTCGAGAGGTGATTCTAGTAGTTTTAGTAAGAAGCTATGACTAATGGAGTTCACCCATTTCGAGTGTGAGACAATTAATCACTAATGGCATTGAACGATGGTCTCGCGACGTCTCAAATGGAACAAAGTGTAACTTATGAACCATGGAATCTAAACTGTGTATGCACGCTGCAAAACATTAAATCTTGAGCTCGATTCCAAAAGGAGCGCTGGGTGCACTCTACTATGGAGTCCCATGTTAGAAAGATACAAATATCTTGTGCTTCTTGGTTCCTAGTGGCGGTCTAGACAAGATTATTTCGTAATGTAGATATAAAATTGGACAGACCTCACAAATATTTTATGGTCAAACTACTATACGTATACATTGACCATGCAATAATGATATTGCTGAAATATAATTCTTTCTTAGAAGGAAGTCTCTTTAATCAATTATAGTCATTAAAAATAATAAACAAATGCACTGATGATGGTAGAAGTTAAAGGAGAGAAATTAGATTTTCAGTTTTTCAATATGCAATAAGTGAGTCTATAAATACATAGTATGTAACAAAAACTTACATCTTTGACTGGCTCTTCGACTTTATAAAGGGTAGTGGCAGTTGTATCGCGATTAGAATTACGTATAAGTAGTCCATCATTTATACTGGAATTTATACATGCACAACCTCTTGGAAAAAAATTAGGTACATTAGTCCAAGTTGGCGTTTCAGGTTGGTGAGCAGGATTCAGACTACCATTTTGGTGGAGATATAAACATGTTTGTAAAGATTTGCGACAATGATCAGCCAAAGTTTGAAGCTTTCGAATCAGCCTATGCAAATGGAAGTAGAAAGTAGCATTAATGTGTTCTGGGTGGAATTTATTTCTGTTCTAATTAGTTATAAAACTAATTAAATTTGTGCAAAAATATTAACCCAAGCCTTTTTGAGTTAAAGATATTCAATAATAACCCATCATTTGTGGTAACTAGTTATTATGTCTTTTACTACGGCTTAGTATCCTTGAACACTTCACTTCAACACGACAGATCGCAAATAAAAACAAGAAATTTAAATATGATGATTTCTATGATTTTTAAAAATGTTAATGTATACACAACCGCATAAATTTTGTGGCCACCTCAACTCATCCACTAGCGCTGATTGATCGAAAATGTATGAAACACGCTTAATAAAGTTTCTGTCCTGATATCGCTAGTAGAAAACTTCGGAAAGATGAATATTTGAAGTTCAGATGGACATTTTTGATGATGCGATGTTCTCCGAGATCGCTGGCTTATTTAAAACTGTCATCGTAGTTCTGGGCAAAATCATCAATGTCTAATTTGTGTAGAAGTGGTTTTTCTAGTTATACCAAAGTATCAGATCGATTTGTCCTGAAGGTTTTGTTTGCAATTGGTTTACTTCGTAGGTTCTGTTGTCGTCATTTGTCAGTTTATTGATGTTAACCGTTTTGCTTTGTTGACAGTAACAACATACAAAAAAATCTACGTACAGACACTATTCAAAAGAGCTAAATCAAAATGCAGAACTCTAAATACAAAAAACCCCGAAGAAATTCACTTTTTCTCTGGCTTCCGTAAAAATGGTTGTCCAGCAATTTCAACAAGAGTTATCTACCGAATCAACAGACCACCGGAAAATCAATCTCGCAAACCAAGTAACAGATCGTCCTGAGATATGTGGTTGTGAAACTTTTCGGAATCAATGTCGATCACAAACCAAGGTAATCACTTCGTTCTACTATATACAGATGGAATGACACACAAGTAAACGACAAATGCAACATCATCTACAAAAATTGAATGGACTGTAAGGAATATTATACTGAAGAAGATTGATTCTCCCCTTGATAACTTGGTATATACAAAATCCAAGCTCAATGAATTTGTCATTGTTAAGTATTTTTACGTGGAATATGTTGACCAAAAATGTATGCTTAAACTTTTAGACACTGAGTTTTTGCTGTTCATGAAACCATACTAAAATGGTAACCTAGAATTACGATAGTTTTTCATTGAAAATAGTCATTATTTAGTTTAATTACATGTGTAACTTACACAACGTTAATAAATTTTTCAATGTTATGAAGCTCCACTGCATCACATTTTTCCGGAGGACTGACTGGATTTGAATTACGTCGCGATTGTTTAGAATTGTTTGGAGCATTATTGCATCTGACACACTTTGAATGAATTCCCTCAGAAAGATTGCCTAATTTGCACAGGTCCTACATAGTAAAAAATAGGATCAAGGGATTAATTTTATTCAGTGATACAGAGTACTTAAGCAAAAGGAATATGGTGGTGATAAAATAACGAAAATTTAGAACTTACAAGAGTTATGCTAAGTCCTGGGAATATAAAACCTGAATTTAATAAGGAACGGAATTCAAGACTTCGTTGTATCATTACTTTGAAACACTGTACTGTTCCATCTATGGAGCATTCTTTTTGAACTGTATTTTGTATCGATTGATTCATTTATGAGTTATTTCCAGGTTCTGATTAATTAAAAAGTACCCGGTGTCTAATGGTTAAGCGCTCGCGTGCGAGACTGATAGGTCCTGGGTTCGAATCTCGCGGGGAGTGGGATCGTGAATGCACACTGCTGAGGAGTCCCATACCAGGACGAAACAGCCCCTCAGTGCTTCCAGGTTTTCTATGGTGGTCTAGCTTCAATTAACTCATGATTTCAACTAGTGAAATTTCTAAAATCTCCACAAACCCTTTTTCTGATAATAATCATCTACTCACTAGTGACTGACTTCAAGAGACACTCCTGGAGTTCTAGTGAGAAGCCGTGGAGTTCAGCCAGGTCTGTTGTGAGATATCAGCTCACTGAAGACAATGGTGACGGTGGCGCAATTTCGTGGATTGGTTCGAGTTAGACATTAACACCGTTGGATGCCGGCTCAGTGGTCTAATGGCTAAGCGTTCGCGCGCAACACCGATTGGTCCCGGGTTCAAAAGGAATATGTTGGTGATAAAATAACGAAAATGTAGAACTTACAAGAGTTATGCTAAGTCCTGGGAATATAAAACCTCTGGAAAGCGTTGACTAAAATAAATTATACTACTTTATCTGTGTTTTAGAATGTTTGTTTACTATAACTACAACATTACATATTTCGTATTTATGATATTTTTTTGATAGTCAGTTTACTTTATAAATAGAGACAAGTAAATAATGAGAAGAACAGGATTAAATGTATATGACCTCTAAATCCTTTACAATGTAATTATTCTTTAAAGAATTTCATTTACATTTCAGAGATGCCATATAATTTGCCTAACATGTTAATTTTTGTAGTATTCCTAGAATTATCATGAAATAAGTTGGTTATTCGAAGTAGTACAAAAAGGTACTAAGAGAGGTAGAGAATAACTAGATGAAAGAAATGGGAATACAATAAATTTAACCAGTTTTAATGATAAGTTAGAAAGGAATATATTTATTTTATTATTATTAGTGGATTTATTCAGTATTATATTTTTAGTACAATATCGAATTCTTAGCACAAAGTATTTCAACAGGTTTTCGTTTCTTACTTCTTAGTCGATCCTGCCGATAAATGTTGAGTGGTCGCCAATTAGAAGTTAGCATTCCAGTCAATCGATATCTAAATAGTGTACATTATTTTCATTTCATAATGCCAGAAACCACGATATCTAAGATTGGACCTTTTGTAACTTGTACAACGAAAGGTTGTACACATTTTAGAAACGCACTTGTTGAAATATCTAGATTTCAGAAATAGGTAGCCCAGATGTTTAAGCAGTCCACCCTTTCGTTTATATAAAGATAATAGGCTTAGTATAGAAAGTTTGTTAGTTAGCTTATCTAAAGCTTAGTAATCAATCTTTTTAAATGCAAAATTTAAATTGTTATAATTCACAATAATAACAATAACAACCAAATTATTGCATCTACTTAAAAACTCCAATCTACTTCTGAGAACAGTGTTGTATTGAACTGATCCTGCATTGATAATCTATTTTTGTATTGTTACAAAAAAAAGAATGTACTTACGTTTTTGTCATTGTGCTCAACTTTTTCACACGAGTTTTGCTTCCCCATATTTTCAGCATATAAGGACTTAATTCTGTTCACTGGATATGATTCATGACTAGAATATTTGTTACCTGAGAAAAATCAAAATAATTTATATTGTATCAATATTTAGAGTTTTCTGTTTCGCAATGTTATTGGTAATGTTTTAAATTAACTAATTACTCTTGCATTGTAAATAATATGTTTCGAAATAGTAATCGATGTCACCTGCTAAATTTACCAGTCAGTATTCCGACCATAACTTTTCCATCCCGCATCTTCTATTCCAACTATAGCCTGCCGTTCTAAATCTTGAGAAGTGATGCGTTCTGGTCGGCACAATTGACTTTGTTTTAGTGCAGGATTTATCCATATTGGTCTATCTATCCACTCATCTTTCTCTATCCTCAGCTCCGAGTTCGAAATGTCTGTAGCCAAGCTCCTGCTACTATATTTCAATTACCCAGCCTAGCACATTATAGCAAATAAGAAATCATACTTTGAAAACGCAGAGTTAAGCAAATGGTACGTAATTAACAGTAATTACGAAGTAGCAAAATACATAACGACAGTCGATAGGTCCAGCGAAAGATTCGAACAAGGAAAACAGAAATGCAATGATTCAGTTAGCTACTAATTATATGATGCAAATATTATTAATAATTCAAAAGTAGTTCTAACTACTTCAATACTCGTTCCGTAACAACAGTTAGTTACTTCCTGAGATTTATAATATCATCGTTTGAAGGTGTTTTCACAAATAAAGTGATTAAGGGTAACTCATCATTTAAATATAATAATGACTGGAGTAATGAATTTGAATGACATTAATGTAGAATACACTTATAACGTATAGATTTCACAAGTCTGATGAAACCCTAATCATGAAAAATTTTTATTTAAAAAGTCAATTTGTAAAACTAATGATTTGGGATTTCATTAAAGTTCGTAAATGAATGAAAATGCTAACCACAATACTGTTTCATTACTTGGATATACGCTGTGTTTACTTATCTATAATCCATGCTATACAGTCTAGATTTAAGCGCTAACCAAATCCTGTTAATTGACTTTACAATGTAACCACTAACCTAAGTTAATCGATATTAAGATGCACTACGTTTGATATCGAATGATTGTAGACCACTGGCAGATTGTTATGGACCAAGGTTTCGTGCGAGACAATACACTCAACGAGATTGTGAGTCTACTCTCAAGCCAATGAAAAGTTGCCTAACTTGATATTCATATTGATCAATATGGTTTAAGCAAAAATAATGATTACACAATATGACAATAATGACTGAAAATAAACAGGATAGAGAAATCAATTAAAACTTATGACAGGTTACTGGCAGACCGTATAGCAAATTGATAACATCGATTGTGGAACGAGTTGATGTAAGTTCGAATATGTGTTCGTTTAAAACTGTAGATTAGTATTGCTTTGTCAACGAGGAAGAAGCATAAGTTTGTGGATTTCTGTAAGTCGCTTGCACTAATCTAGTATATAGTGTTATATCCACTTTAGTTTTAAAACTTTCAGCCAATGATAATAGAAGAAAGTTCTGATGTTGCTGTAGTCTATTCATTACGAAACTTATTCAAACATTTTAAAAATTGAGATGCTAAGAGTGACTATGTGTTCAAACAAACCTAAATAAAATATCATTAGTTGTAAAAACATTGCCTTTACCTATAAATAGTAAAAGTAACATCACAAGTAAAATTCACAATTATTTTCGCTTGCAATATTACGTGCATTCTAGTTTCAAAACTTCTAAATGCCAGCAAACCGATGAAAGTAAAAAAAATAGTACATTATGTTTGGATGAGAATTGGTGAAATAATTAGGCAGCCAAGAAGCATGATGAATGTCATCTCAGATAATAAACGAATCGTCGACAGAATATGTTACTCTAAACAATTTGTGTGTTGTATAATAAATAATCCCACTAAAAATTTAAAATATAGCATAAAAATACTTACTGTCAGTAGCAAGTCCCTCTTGAGTTTGTAAGTGCGCTATAATTCTCAAAATTAAATCCCTTTCACTTTCAGCATTTTTTATTTTTTTCTGTAAAATGATAAAATTAATAAACTTTATTGAAATCATGAGCCGATCTAAGTTAGACCACCATTTAAAGCCTGGAAGCACTTGAAGGTCGTTTCGTCCTAGGGTAGGACTCCCCTAATATCCCGCATCCAAAAATCGAAACCAGGACCTTCACTCTTGGGCGTGAACGCTTAACCTCCGCAACCCTCACTGGTAATTATTATGCGCTTACTACGGAATGGCTTTGAAAAGGAGTTTCTGGAGTCCTAGTCAGGAGCAGTGACTGATGGAACTAATCCGTCTTGGGTGTGAGGCAGTTATCCAATGGAGACAATGGAAAGTGGTCGGGCCATGTCTTGGATTGGTTAAAGTTGGATATTAACAACGTTGGACGCCGACTCAGTTGTTCAGAGGTTAAGCCTTAGAGCACGAGACCGAAGGTCCTGGGTTCAGTCCCCTCGTGAGGGACAGTGGATGTGCGCTGCTAAGGAGTCCCATGATGAGACGAAACAGGTGTCTTGTAATCGCAGGTTTTAAATGGCGGTCTAACTTAGATCGATTCATAGTTTCGATAGAATTTACCAATCTCCACAATCTCTTACTCATGATTGAATTTAGTTTGCAACAAAAAAGCTCACAAAACAGCTTAATCCTTAACTAAATGAAAATTGCCAACTCATACACTCCCTAAAAAATCTAATGTTTGGAGGTATAATTGGATATATATGATTATAAGAGTAACTAAAGATGAATGGATATATATAGTTCTTTTATGCCTGGAAAATAACTAAGTAATTATTAGCATACTGTTCCAGTATCAAACTACTACAGTTTGATTGAAAACCTCAACGAAATCACTGAATATGAATTTAAGATAATTTTTTTCTACAGTTAATTTAAAAGATATAAGCAATCGATTATTATTGTCCAAATTTAGTGCGTTAATTTTATTTGATATATTTTGATATAAAGTAGGAATAATATGTGACCTGGAACTGTGATGAAAGACTACATTCAACGCGTCTTTAAGTTAAAATTAAAACCAGACAGTATTCGATACAAGATACATGTACTAATAGAAAACTTATCTTATTTAAAAATATCAGAAGAAAATCTAGTTTTTCTTTAATTCAATATGGTCTCTCAATATGTATTTGATATCCGTCACAAGTAATAAGAGAAAACATTAATGGAGAAAATTAAGGTTTGTTTCTAAAACAACAATGAAATATCATATAATATCATGGTGTTTCTTCACGACAGTCCGGTTATATTTATTGATTAGTAACCACATTTGACCGGTTAATACATTTTGACAGAAGTTTAAGTAACGAACTGGTAAACTTCCCCATGAAAGTCTAATTGTCAGTTTTTTTATTCAAAGTACACCAATCCTGGTACACTAAAACGTCAAAAAGAATATACTATACTAGTAAATCTACAAAACTAAAAAAAATAAAGTTCACTCAATAAACAAATGAACACAAGTGAAATTTTATAAGAGGTAAAGTTCGTCTATAGGCATAGAACAAAAAACTTTCAGTTAAGAAAGATCGTTTAATTGCTATTTAAATCCTAACAGAAAACTACAGTATGATTGCCAGTGGTTTTTATTCTGATTCATGCCTAATGACGTATCAAACCACCGAGTTGCACAATTTCCATGACCCATGGTAAATCGATGGATGCCAATAATATACTGCTACATTTCACACCCCGGCGCTATTTCATAAACTGACCAGTGACTCTGTACCAGGGTCGGAAAACGACAGACTGTTTGGAAGCCACTTGGATGATACCTGTAAAACATGTTTAAGAAACTGGATTTGGTGTTTCGGAATTGTGACATCCAGTGAATTATAATCACTATACATTAACATGTAATGTCGAACCTCGGTATTAATAAGATTACATTGCCACCTAAAGACAGCGATCCTTTGAAAATGACGATTATCAAATAGTCACCAAACATTTTCAGTTCGGAAGAGCTAGGTTTCAGAAACATAAGGCATAATTACTCTCACAGAGATGTAGTATTTGCTTCGTAAATACAGCTGATCTCTTAAATAAACTAATTTAGTTTCTATCAGTTCAGTCCTACTCCAGCAAGAATTTAAGGTCAATGTAGGGAGTAATACCAAACTAAACATATAGCCCTGTAAAAACCACTTGATCTACTTTCCGGAATATATATTAGAGGAATGTTTGCAAACAATGTAAAAGCATTATTCACATCACCTTTTTAAACAATTCTTCGTCAGAAACGGATTACGCTTTGTACTATGCCATGAAAGGACCTTTATATATTAACCGTTTAGTTAACTTTTCACAAAAATATAAGACAATTACAAAGTTTCTTTGATGCTATCGAGGCGCGCAAAGTGATACGCGGTTTTATAGAATGTAAATGAAGCAAACTGATAGTTATTCAAACAAGTCTAGGTGAGAAAATTCCAAATACTATAAATATATTTAAAAAATTAGAAGCCTGACAGTACAAAAAGTAGAAATAATCAAGTGATAGTGTTAGTACTTTCAGTTATATAGCTTCTTATCAAGGAAAGTTTACCAAACACAAAGAATCCTAATTAATCCGAACATTACAAGGATAGGTAAACAATGAAAATAAATGATACAACAAAACCATCAAATAGAGCAAAAAACCCCATGTAGACTGAATGGAAAGCCAAAAACAGCCATGGTTATTATATATTCAATGGTACGAGTTTTGTCGTTGTTAGCACTAAGAAGTGCATTTAACCAGTGTTCATTAGCATATGTGCGTTTGAAGAAAAAGATACTGAGTTCGAGTTTCAGTTTGAAAATTGATACTGGAATGCAGAAATATTCAGCTGACTAGTCATAAATAAGAACCAAACAGCAGTCCTAGGTCGTATTGATATCGAAAACCTAATTTCATTAAAAACCTGGTTATGTCTCATTAGGTTCATGAAATGGATGACAACCACTCACGATGATAGAATAGTTGACGCAAGTGAGATAAGAAAATGTTAGTGATATATATCAAGCATAAGTAATTGAAGGATGACAATCAATAAAAATAAGGCTAGCAAATATAAATTATGCACAAAATGTTGAAAATAGTAGGTGATTGAGCAGAGAATGTTCAATAAAAATACGCATTCAGCAGTTATCCTTTGATGGAGCTACTTTTACACCGTGATACATGTTACGGTATTAAAGATTATCGTTAACATACATTTATGTTTTGGACCAACTGAATTATTTTATTCTCCTGGTTCACAATCCATTGTTGATTGGGACTTGGTTGAGTGGTACTATGTGGCACGGTGTGACTTTGGTTTGAGCACTTCATCAGAAATCAACTATCTGAGAGTTTTTTTTGAATACTGTGATTTAATTGCACACTAGGACTCTCGACCTCGTTTAGTGTCTTCAGCGTTCACTTGGTGTTTTCAATAACTATTATAAAGGCAAGGTTTCCAATTAATTTCATGCACCTTTTTTTTAAAAAACTAACTGCAAAACAACAGGAACACCTATGAATAAAGATAAATTGCACGAGAAGCACGACAAGATAACAATTATTCTTTCTTACCCTGAAACAAAAAAGAAACAGAAAACTAGTTATTAGAAAAGTAAGGGAAAGTTGAGAAACAAATATGGTCTTGCAATCATTGGGTTTTCGTAAGCTGTCAAAAACGCTTATGTACAAACACAAACAACATTTTAATTATCTAAATTTGGATCTTTTTCCAACTTTAAAAACTAAATAAGAACGTGAATAACTTTTCGCTTAGCTATTTTGTTGCATCTACTATTGCATTTTCTATTTTTGATCATATGATGCAAGTTGTAAGAGTACTCAAGTGATCTCCCCATTAAGAATCTAGTGCCTCTGTACTTATAAAAATTACACAGTAATATTCTTATATATCTATACAGATTATGTGTAACAATTGATAGTTTCGTCAGCCCATGACCATTTTCAGTGTACGTGAATAAAGGGTGTCACGTTTGATTTATGCTTGGCCGTTACGATGACATACAGATCAACATATATTCAATGAAAAACCTCAAAATTTGCCATGTTAGACCACTGGTTAGATAATTACATGACCCCAGTCGATTTACAGTGACTATTTGTATTGTTCCAGATGTAAATGCCGAAGAACTTGTTCAGACAAAACAAGATCAAATAGCCACAAATACTAGTTTTATTATGGTATTTTACACGTATAGAACCCAATATCTTTTTGACGAGCTACTGCAAACCAACTGATTTATCTTCCTCTGTTTTATAGCGTCAATCAAGCCACTCAGTGCACTAGTCCTGGTGAATTTGACAGTTTCTTGGGTGTTAGACTAACTTTTATATGATTAGCTCGATCTTGTTGGTGAAGGGCTGTAAACATCTGCCATTGTTTGACAACAACAATTAATGGTTAGATATACATAAGCCGACTATATAAAGGATTCTCTTGAAACCAGCATAAGCCGGTTTTATTATTCTACAAACCCCTCTATTATATTTTGTTGTACATCACCAACGTTAACTGTAAAGTGGTCAAAATTCTTTTATGATTGAAGCTTTGTCCTAGGGTGAAGCATGAGAAGTCAACGATTAAGTTATGACTCAACTCGAGTACAACTCACTGTGGTACCACATTGACATACATATATCATTAATATATACTTAAGTAAGCAAAGCAGTTTGTAATAGAAAGATAGATTATCAGCACAAAATTAAAGAAATCTGATCACTGAAACTCTAAGTAATTAAATAATACCTAAAATCGACTACACAACCCAAGGCACGCGATAACACAGAAAGTCGTCAAATTGTGCGGACGAACCGTTCGGACAAATAGTTACAAAGAAATTACATGTAGATGTAGCGTAGTATTGAGTTATTTAGTTTTTTTGTATAAATAATAATTAATGGCTCTGGTTACGCTCTTTGTACGCTGTTTAAAAATGGACACTACTATTGGTCCCAACTCACTTAAGTGATAAAGCGAACATTCTAACCTGACTGATGAACTTAAGTAAGAAACCTCTGCTTAAAGATGTTTCGGATTTGATTAAAATTTGTTTTTGAACTTTTCATTCTATTGATGGATGAGAAATTAGTTCCATTTATATAGGCTTTTACTACTTTTCCAAGTGATAAATTTCAACATATTATGGAATGAAAATTTAACGATCAGCCTAGTTTATTTATGCGTGCTAATCCGTTTCACTTTTAAACTTATACTTCAATATTTACTAACATAACTGCTGCCGTGAGAATAAATCATCATGGAAAATTATTTGTTAGTAAGCTATCAGGAATAGTGAAAATGTTTATTCGTTGTCTTCCGGATTGTTAGTTACAAGAGTTACAAGACGAATAAATTGCGTTGTATTTGTCTCAGTTTATGCACGTTCGAACGCTTAATATGTCTTTTACTGAATGTACATTCTGTTTCGCTTGTTATGTATGACATTTTTAAGCCCTTTGAACACCTGTTTGAGTTTAAATGCACGTCATTATAGAAGTTTTCACTCAGCCTCATCATATTATGGTTTTTGTTTTTCTGCCTTGAAGACTGTCATCCGATCACAACATCGCTCACCCTGGTTGCTTGCTCACTGCCTACAAACAACAAAGATCCAGAAAGCCAGTTCTAGAGACTCACTGTACAGAAATATTACAGATCAATACGATTTTACAGTCGAATTACCAAAACGTTTTTCGTCAGAGAATGATGATTTCATCAAAAAGTATGCTCTAATTGCTAGAAAATGTATTCTTCGGAAATACAAATAATGCTTATATCGTGACCACAACTTTTGTAAGCATTCTGATATCTATAATGCATACACACAAACAGAATGAATACTGGAGAACAAGGATAGCTCATTTCAGTCAGTAAAATTCCATTATAGGGAGTTCATACTAGACATTATTCTAATAATCGTTTTTCGTATAATTGGGGCAGGTAAGGATATTCCCATAGATTTTGAAAAATTAATTCTCTGAATGTTCTTTCCGTTCGCACATTCTTTGACTAATACTAATGTTAACACCAACTAACGTAAAAACTTAATTAATATTGAGTCAAATGTGCATAATGTTTTACATGGAATTTAGAGACCATTTCGGATTACATGCGATCATTAGTAAATTCAGGGACTCTATTTTATGGTTTTCCCATATGGGAGACATTTACTAAGTGATAAAGTCAATAGCTAAGATAGTAAGTTGGAATCTATTAGCTCTTTTTATCAGATGAATTGGCATAAAATGAATGGGAAGTAATAATGTAAGATCCAAACTAAGGTTTGTACTGAATAATAACTATCTAGGTAGGTTAGATACGCGCCCTTGCACGGTTGAAACCAAGACAAAGTAGTTGGTTGAAATGACAGTTCTAAAATTCATTATAAATTTAAATGTACATTGTTACCTAAACAAATATGACCACCCAGCTATTCAACCAATAATTGTTCAGTTAATCAAATCTAAATTACAATAAATAAGAAAATTGATAAAGGATGTTGGAAAATTACCAGTCACTACAAATTAATGTTATTCTCTCCTTTCTGGATAGTATACGCACATATTCATTCAAAAGATTGTAGCGTGGCGTCGAGTCACGGTTGACTATGATCGCCACTACAAGAAGGTTACGTACCAGATATCAGAAGGCGATTGGAGGTTGTAGCGAAATACATTTGTTGGTGATCTTGTGGTATCGAAAGAATACCGAGATCGTACCAAATAAGTACAAGCGGATTCACTGCGGAAACGTAAGTTCGTAAAAAGCCACGATCAACAGAAGTGAGGATGGAAGAATAATGGTTGTCTTTAGTACAGTCAAACAAGCAAGTACAGTAAAACAATCACTGGTAAAATTGGTCATAATAATAATTGTTTTCATCAAACCGATCACGTTCTCTTGATAAAAGTAGGTCACTACAAGATAAAAATTGGTTGTTTTATAACACAGAGTGTTTCCAATTCTGGAAGAGTGCCTCAATTTACAACCAAAAATGCACAATTTCAGTCAACACGAGCAACACAATCAAAAGGAGGAACAAACCAATATGGCTAACGCCAGGACTAAGTATTAAGTAAAACAACATAAATACAGTTCAAGAAGAAACACGGAAACTTAGTGAAGGCGTAAGAAAAATGAAAACCATAATAAAACTCAAATGGAATCAAAAGGACTAACAAAAACGTACAACTAAAGGAATTGATAGGAACAAACTGCAAGTGTAAACATGGAGGGGTTTTCACACACAGAACATTCAAAATGGATCTTACAGTAATAATAATTCAGACGACGCTTCGGGGTGAAAGGTTTTTAAAGAAAATAAACAATATGACCAACAGAGGGCGTGTCAGTTATTAATCAATATTAAACTGAGATATAACATTCTACGATGACTTAACCTCCTAACGAGTAGTTTGTTGGGGAGTCGAAAAGTGACTTGTCGTTAGTGTTGACCTTTTAGAAAAAACAATTTAGTCTTATTATCCAACAGACAATAGGATCTGATAATAAACATATGAATATAAGAAAACTACGAAGCACAGAAAATAGAATGTATGAGTGTACAACGTCAATGTCAGCATCCCATTCATAAATACCCTATAAGATGTAACGAAAAGCGCTGTTTGAGGTAAGCGAAGACGATAAATCTACAATAACTTTTCGGGTTGCTTAAAAACTTATAAATAATAGATTTTTCACAGTAAATGATCAAAATTTCATTGAAAGAGGTAAGACATCAACAAAAATATATCATGAGCATTCAAACGTTAAGGATGGCTAATCCGAAATGTCTATACCAGTGAAATGTGTTTTAATCAACGAGATTTTAACCACCAAATTTGCAGTACTTGGTTTGAACATAGAGGCATAACGAACAATAGTTCATTTGATTAGATCTAACTACAGCCTTCCTGAATCATTGGTATTTAATAACATTAAAGCAAAAAGTCAATGCTTGATTAAATCACTTCCTACTTAAGAAAAAAAACAAATCATACCAAAATATAAAATTCTGTACAGGTACCAGTTTCTTTAGAACAGAATAGCGTACTTAGTAGCGAAAGGAATGGTTAATAAGTAATTGTTCAGTACCTTATTCAACAAGTGCATTCTTGAAGTAGTGGAATCAAGTATCTGTCCACTCAACTAACCGTTTTTTGAAGGCATTTAAAAATCAACAAATGCAACGCGTGTTATTCGCGTTTATTTGGAAGTAGAAGGGACATAGAACAACATCATACAAATCCGAATCAATAAATATATGAGAACGAAGAACGTGACGTGTTAGCAACAATTCATATATAGTTCA